TAAGTGGATCAGGGTTTAATCCCTGTCTCAACTCACATAACGATTTCCTTCCGTGTCTGCTCCAGCATCATGTACTGCGTCCACTCCTGTTCACTCTCGTACGTCTTAGACTGATCCACGATCTTTTGGAACATTGTCCTCTTCCTACAAAACACACCGGTTCGTTACAGAGAGCAATGCTTATTCTTTTTTTTAAGGCTAGTCAAGTAAAGCAGTAGGAGTGAAGAAGGAACAAGGAAATCTGTGACTGGTTGTGATGAATTAGTTTTAAACACCACTGCACTCAGACCAGCTAAGGGAGCAAGTCTGAGAATGAGGCAAGCCCTGGGCTTCTAACGCTGGCTGATTCAGATGGAGGCTTATTGAATCAACGTAATTCACAAAACAAAGTTAAAAAAAACCAAGGCCTGACAGTGAAGACCTATATTCTAACCCTGACTCTGCCACTGATTTGTTTTCTGATCTTAGCAAATCTTTTCCCCTGAATATCAGTTTTCCCATCTGTACAGTGGGGTAATAATATTTAACTCACAGGGTTATAGGGAGTCAGTGTGTCCATGGCACAAGTGTTGTGCCTGGCACATAGTAAATACGAAATCAATTGGAACTCTGCTGTTCGTTATTATTATAATCATTGTCAAATGATTATTAGGATTAAAATGAAGAAATACCAACTTGAAATACAAGGCGAGGTCGGTGGCAATGATCGCGATGTCCATCATGTGGATGGCATGCTCATGTTGTCGGCGATTGAGGTTTTGAAAGATATTCAGGTTCTAAAGAAAAAAACAGAAGAGAGATGGGAGAAGGGATGGTGGCGGTAGTCACTTAATGACCAGTGGCCACCCAGATGGTGGTAGGGGCAGCCAGGCCAATGGAACAAATGCTGCCTGGGCACACTCAGGCTACCTGTGAGATGGGGTCTCCGGTCTGGGCCCCAACGCCAGTGCAGAGGGCCCTTGTCCTACCTCTTCTCTGAGCAGCGTTTTGCCGAACTCCAAGTGGTGTCTTTCCAAGATGGAGGAACCATGGAGCTTGGCTAGCGGGTTCTGAGATCTGAATGAGGGAGGGAGAGAGTGAGGGAGAGAACAAATCAGTATGGAATGGGTAACAGAAAATTAGGACTGAACATCATGGTTGCTGGCTCACAGGCTTTAGCTTTCTGCACAAGCAATTCTGAGCCACTTTTGAGTCTCAGACTCCCTAGAGAATCTGCTGGACAGTGTAGACCCTTATCCCCAGAAAAAGGCACAAACACACACAATGCCACGTGCAATTTTAGGGACATTGGCACTTTGGAGACCATCGATCCCCTGATCCTCTATACCTGAGTCCTGGGGGAAGTCATTGAATTCCCATAAGCAATGTGTTCACTCATTTCTTTATTCAATAAATATTTGTTGGGCACTTATTATGTGCCAAGCACCATGTCCAGGACTTAGATTCCCACAATATGAAATGTAAACACAGTCTCTAGCCTCAGAGCAACATGGAAAAGTCTTCTCTGAGAAGACTCAGAGAAGCACAAATTGTAGTGCTTTCTAATGTCTCGGCTCTGGGCACAGTCTGTTTCCTCATCTGTTATATGGGGATGGCACTAGTCCCTGCTCTGCCCAGCCCACAGGGTGTCATGAGGATTGTATCTGGGCTCCAATTAGCTCAGCAGGTAGGACAGGGAAGGAGGAGGATGAAAGAGTTTAATGCATTAGTTTCCCGTTGCTGCTGTAACAAACTGCCACAAATTTAATGGCTTTAAACAATAAAAACTTATTTTCTTATTGCTCTGGAGTTCAGAGGTCTAAAATGGGTCCACAGGGCTGCTTTCCTTCTGCAGGCTCTAGGGCAGAATCTGTTTTCTTGCTTTTTCTAGCATCTGGAGGCCACCTGTGTTCCTTGCTTGCAGCCCTTTCCTGCATCCTCAAAGCCAGTAGGGCAGCGTCTTCTCTCCACTGACCTCTTGCCTCCTTCTGATAAGGACCATTCCTCCTACATGGGGCCCATCCAGATAATCCCTGTATCAAGATCCTTAACAATCATGTCTCTCAGGTCTGCAAAGTCCCTTTTGTTTGTTTGTTTTGTTTTTGTTTTTGTTTTGAGACAGGGTCTTGCTCTGTTGCGTCATCATAGCTCACAGCAACCTCAAACTCCTGGGCTCAAGTGATGCTCTTGCCTCAGCCTCCCGAGTAGCTAGGACTGTAGGCACATACCACCATGTCTGGCTATTTTTTAAATTTTTTGTATAGACAGGGTCTCACTATGTTGCCCAGGCTAGTCTCAAACACCTGGCCTCAAATGATCCTCCTGCCTCAGCCTCCTAAAGTGCTGAGGTTACTGGCATGAGCCACTGTGTCAGCCCCAACTCCTTTTTCAATGTAAGGCAACATATTCTCAGACTCTGGGGTATGGAATGTGGTTATCTTTGGGAAGTCATTATTCTGTCTACCACAGGAGTGGTCCCAGATCCCAACGGCAGAAGCAAGTGGGAATTTGTGGGCAGCGAGACCTCCCCCTCAGCCAGCGAGTCTGTCTGGGAGCCACGCAGAGCTGAGTAGTGAATCCCGAGGGTTGGGGAAAGGGAGGGGGGTGACTCACTTCATCTGGTAGAGGTTGTTGGTGCCTCTGTGGTCAATGTCATGGCAGAAGGCAGCAGTGACCATGGCCAAGGCCTCCAGGTCCGTGAAGTATCGCTTCAGTTTTCCCGTCTAGAAGGGCAATCACAGTCCAAGTCACTCCTTTTTTGTGGGGACTGGAAGGAGGCCTGAAAGGGGAGTTCTGAGGGGAAGGACCCAGAGCTTGGAAGTACGGGTCTGATCTTGGTTCCATGCCTGGCTCTATAGGCTGACCAGAGGTTTGCCCAGGGCTGAGCGGTTTTCTGGGATGTAAGACTTCCATTGCCACACTGACAAATCGTACTATGAAAAAGCACATGCTTCTAGAAATTATGATTCACAGACATATTGATCCATAGATTGCTGGTGTGACAGTTCACAATTGCTTGCTTCCTAGTGTTTATTGGAAATTAAAGTCACTAAGGGTTAAGAATTCTAATTAATATGCATAACTAGAATTCGTAAAAATAACAAGGCAAACAATTATACCTGCAAGTATAAAAGAAAGGTAAGATGTGATTTTGGTTAAGGAAAAGCTAAAAAATATGAGGACGTTTTGTTTTGCTAAGAGAAAAGAGTAATTTTTGTCCTAAGGTAGAATGACTGGTTGCTCCAAAATGAGAAGAGAAAAAGTATAGGACAAAAACTGAATGGATGAGAAAGTTGTAGAAGGCTTGTGGAAGATGAATCTTGTGAAAGGAATTTTTATGTGTGACCAAACTAGCTGGGATTAGAAAAAAATTTATTTGTAAGTTTTTCTAAAAATTGAGCATTCATATCAAAAGTACACTGACACAAAACTAGAATTTGGTCCTCTCTGCTAAAACAATAAGGTTTTCTCGAAGTATTGGGCTGCTTTTAATAGGAAATTGTGAAAGGTATTTCTTTACTTTTTAGGCAATTGGCCTAGGAAACAAAGATTCTGTGTTTTACCAAAATAATATTTTGTGCTTCATGTTGTCTTTGCTAAGTTTTGGATCACTTAAGAAAATTGAGTCCTCTCTATTAAAAGAGCTAAGGTGTTTCTACAACTATGTAACTTCCTGTATTTGCCTTTGAGGTCTTTTAATTATCAGTTTTATTGGTTAAATGAATAACTATTGTTCACAGTGACTTGTGATCTTATTTTGATCAAGTGTTTTACACCTATGCTATTTTTGACAAACTTCCCAAAACCAAATTCTAAATTAAGTCTTTTTCTTAACCTCAAATTAATTTTGGGATTTTTCAGATAGGCCCTTGGAACAGCTCAAAAAGATACCTCTCCTTGTAAAAAGAGAGATATAAAATTGTTTATTTGATATATTAAATTATATGGGAAACATTGTCAAATAATAAGTAAGGCTAAACCTTCTTTAAGTTATATCATATGGATGTGGGTTTATTTTTGTTCTTTTGAAACAGAGTCTTACTCTGTTGTCCCAGCTGGAGTGCAGTGGTGTCATTGTAGCTCACTGCAATTTCAGACTCCTGGGCTCAGGCAATCCTCCTGCCTCAGCCTCTCAAGTAGCTGGGACTACAGGTGTGTACCACCATGCCCAGCTAATTTTTTCTATTTTTAGTAGAGACAGCTGGTCTCAAACTCCTGCGCTCAAACGATCCACCCACCTTGACCTCCCAGGGTGCTAGGATTATAGGCATGAGCCACCGCACCTGGCCTGGATGTGTTGTTAATATGTTTCAGAAATTATATGAAATTCATAGAAATCTAACAGGCCTGGTATGACACTATAAGTCATAATTCTAGTTATCATCTTAAAATTTTGTCTGTGACAGAAATAATCAAATTTCCTTGTCAATTGTGTCATTATTGTAATGAACTCTAATGAGAGC